CTGCCTTCCAGGAGTGTGCCACGTTTCTATGGCGGAACCTTTCTGTGCCAAAACTAGAAAAGTTCGTAGACCTTATCTTACTGAAGACAGTTTATATATCTAGGATCCAATCTGTGATTGAATAGAATTTTCCCACCATTCCCATTTTCCTACCATTCAGTTATTAACAAATGCAGCTAGATGGATACTAAAGAACACATAAAACCTAGCCCTGGCTTTCCCTTACATACGTAATGGCACTAGGATGTTTTATCTTACATTCTTGCACACAGTTAAAAAATGCACTGAAAGTATTCCTCCCTTTAGTTGTCTGTCATGACAAAAATTATAGCAGTGAGATAATTGGGCACTCTCTAACCTCTAGGTAATGTAAGGTCCTCCAAGGCTTTTGGCTACAGTCCTTCCTGTCCCTTCCCTACTTGCCTATCCTTTGCTGATTTACCAACATTGCAGCTGCTACCCTGTTTCTGCAAAATCCAGAAGACTCTTGGTGCAACATTGAAGACCATTGGGGCAGAAGCCAAAACGTTGCATATGCTGTCCTGTACTAAAAGGACTCTGTGATCCTGAGCCTTGCAAGAATGAGTCTTAAGAAGTGAGGGGCTGAGTGACTACAGGACATTCTCCATACAGAAACTAAAGCGTCCAACATTATTATTTCAACACTGAGAGAATGCTGATCACTCAGCCTTGAAGAAACAGCCTTGCAGAAAAATTAGTAATGGCCATGATACAGGTCAGGAGGGGAGAAGCAAGTAGGGAGAGAACAGATATTTTAACCTTCCCTGCCTAAGAATCCAAATTTCATCAAAATTGCTGGGAGTGGGGGGTTGCCTTATCCTGGCTTATGCCAATACCTGCTATAAAGTAAACCATGGATATATCAATCCACTTTTAGATTCTCAGCATGCTGGAATATGATTTACAAGCATTTTTCTAACTAGAGGGTAAGAATAATTGCATTGTAAAAATGCAACAAGAATTGCATTTGCTTAAAAAAAACTATAAAGTTATAAATACTGGTTGTCTAAATCAGGGGTTATGTCACCTGAACCTCCATGACCATAAGTGGCCCCTAGAGCCTTCCGTATGTCCCCAGAATCCTTCCAAACAATATGATACAACTATAATTCTCAATACAACAGAAATGGAAGACTTCAAAAGAATGGGGAATAATCATGTTTACATTTCAATTAAATATAAGTTAAATCAACTTCAGTTTTTTCTTCGCCCCATCTATCCACTTGATTATTCCACTTCCTAGCATACCACTTACAGATCAAATGTGGTTAATGGCCTGACAGAAAACCCAATGTATTCCTGAGGCAAATAAAGTAATAACTTTTTTTTTTTTTTTTTTTAAAGAGGAGCATTAGTCTATTGGGTTCTGTATTTTTTATGTTTTCAAGCTGTGCTTTTATACACTTGAACATGGTTGCAGTTCCAGGGAAAATTGAGATAATGGAGATGGTGACATTGATATGCTGCATGGGTTATTCGTTGATATTTGGAGGGGGCTTAAATAACAGCCCCCAGAGGGATAAGCAGAGGTTTCATCTTCCTTGATATTTTCAGGTTCTCCTGGATGTTGCTAAAAAGCTTGGAATCAAGTGTCACTCAAAGGGGACAGTAATTACAGTTGAGGGACCACGTTTTAGTTCTCGAGCAGAAAGCTTGATGTTTCGCAGCTGGGGGGCTGATGTTATCAATATGACGACAGTCCCAGAAGTGATCCTGGCAAAGGAGGCGGGAATCTGCTATGCGAGTATTGCCATGGCAACAGATTACGACTGCTGGAAAGAACATGAAGAAACAGTGAGTGAAAATTCCTGTTTTCTTTGGGGATATGTGCTTCAGTAGCATATACGCTAAAACTGGAACAATGCTATTTGCCAAATTGATAGCCTGCTTGCCTGAGCTATACGTTTTCTGCATATTGTTTTTACATGAATCCCCCTCATGGGGGATGAAAAAATTACAAACTGACAGAAATCTGTGTGGGGCTGAGTTTCTTCCCCGCTTGTCAACCTAGGGTTGCCAACTCTAGCTTCCTGCATGTGAGAAGAAATGGGTGCATATAACACACTTGTAAATATATATACATATATGCATGTATGTATGCTTGCTACAAGCCACACAGCCAAAAAAGGGCAGGGCCAGACGAAAAATTAATGGGATTAAAAGCTACTAATTAAAATCAATCACCTCATTTATCTTCACCTGCATATACCAGTGATTCCATCCCTCTCACACAGTCCGGAGGCTGTCAAGGTCTGGAAAGGGAAAGCCACGCTCAGACTCAACCCATCCGAGTGGTTGACTGATTCCAGGACTGTACCATCTTCGACTGGCTTTTGCACAGCCTCACCTGGTGTGCCAGTTCTGGCCTTACCTGGTATAAGATGCATTGAAGATGGTCACTCATGCCCTTGTTATCTCTCAGTTAAATTACTGTACCTTGCTCTACATGGGGCTGCCCTTCAGCCGGTCCAGAACGCAGTGACATACGTGCCTAGTGGTCAGTTGCAGAACTGCCATGTTACATGCCTGCTGCACAAGCTGTGCTGGTTACTAGTAAGTTTCCAAGTGCAATTCAAGGTGCTGGTTGCTACCTCTAAAGCCCAAATGGCACGAGGCCTGGGTGGCTTAGGGATTGCCTTTCCTCAATAGCTTCTGCCCATAAGAATCCTCACCTACTAGGAGGTACAGCTTAAGGCAGTGTTGTCCATGCTGGCTGGGGAATTCTGGGAGTTGAAGTCCACTCATCTTAAAGTGGCAAAGTTTGGACAACCCTGCCTTAAGGTGACTGGGCAATAGGTGTGTGTGCGCGTGCTCTCTGTCTGTCTCTCTCTCTCTCTCT